CTGCTGATGATGATGATGATGATGACGATGATGCTGACGATGACGATGATGCTGCTGATTATGTTGTTGATGATGGTGGTGATGCTGATTATGATGATGTTGACGATGATGGCGACACTGATGCTGATGGTGCTGTTTATGATGTTGCTGCTGCTGATGATGCTGCTGATGATGATGATGATGATGATGATGATGATGATGATGATGATGCTGCTGCTGCTGATGATGATGATGATGAGGAGGAGGAGGAGGAGGAGGAGGAGGAGGAGGAGGGGGAGGAGGGTGTCAGGTGGAGGAGGAGAAGGAGGAGCAGGCAGGAGGAGGAGGAGGAGGAGGAGGAGGAGGAGGGCAGGAACAGCAAGGGGCGGAGGAGGCGCAAGAGTGGGATGGTGAAGGTGTAGAGGAAGTGCAGGCCGCAGGAGAACAGGGGGGGGGGGGCTGCGCAGGAGGAGGGGGGAGGAGGGGGAAACGGAGGGGTAGTTTTGCCGCGCTTGGAGGGAGGGGAAAGACGATGGGGTGAGGGGAGGGGGGTGGGGAGGAGGAGGCTGAGTGGGAGCAGTAGGACGGCTGGGAGAGGCATAAGGAGGAGAAGGTGGAGGAGGAGGATGAGGAGGAGGACGATGAAGAGGTGGAGAAGGAGGAGGAGGAGGAGGAGGTGGTGGAGAATGACCAATGGTAACCCAAGACGCATCAACGATATTGCAAGAAGCCCTCCTTCCAAGTTCCCTTTACATAGGTCCCTGCAGAAATTAATTGTCACTGCGAGTCGTGCACCACTGGAAGACAATAGTCGGATAATCCTCGACCGAGCCAAAGCGCAGTTCCTGGGATTTCAACGCCGAGAATCAAGCCCAAACAATCTTGAATCGTCGCAGAACGCCACTCCCAGACTTTGATCACCGCGAACCAACATGGCTGTTGCGTCCTGATCCGCATAATTCGTGTCGGAGCAACTGTCCTGGGCATTCAAGCATACGAATCCTCGAGATCTGTTATGACGAATGTACGCAGCGCTACGGCGTGTTCAACACTCGACAACGGATCGCCCTTCGTCATTGACATTGCTGCAGGCTTCTAAGACGAATGTGCACGGCGCTCAGGCGAGAGCAGCATTTTGACAACGGACGGCCTCCATCCTTGAAGCGGGCACACACATCCAGACGAATGTGCGTGGTGCTAAGGCGAGAGCCACATTCTGAACATGGATTGCCCTCCTTCCGTGAAGCTGCTGCGAACTTTGAAGACGAACGTGCGCGGCGCTAAGAGGATAACCACTTTTTAAAATCGACCAGCCCACCATCCGCGAACTTGTTGCAGGTTTCAAGCTACAGGACCAGACATGGTGACGAAGTCTCTGGCGAAACGCCTGGCCCGCCCTACCGACATTCCTGGGAGCTGACAGGGAGGAGTTATCTACAAGGAAAGAACATTGATGATGATGATGATGCTGCTGCTGATGATGCTGATGGTGATGATGATGCTGATGGTGATGATGATGATGATGAGGATGATGATGATGCTGATGGTGATGATGATGATGATGATGATGATGATGCTGATGCTGATGCTGATGCTGGTGCTGGTGCTGGTGCTGATGCTGATGCTGATGATGCTGCTGATGATGATGATGATGCTGCTGATGATGATGATGATGATGAGGATGAGGAGGAGGATGGGAAGAGGAGGAGGGAGGAGGAGGAGGAGGAGGAGGAGGAGGAGGGAGGAGGAGGAGGAGGAGGAGGAGGAGGAGGGAGGAGGAGAGGAGGAGGAGGAGGAGGAGGAGGAGGAGGAGGAGGGGAGGGGAGGGAGAGGAGGAGGAGGAGGAGGAGGAGGAGGAGGAGGAGGAGGAGGAGGAGGAGGGAGGAGGAGGAGGAGGAGGGAGGAGGAGGGAGGAGAGGAGGAGCTAGCTCTCGGAGGGCTCGCGGGTAGCTCCCACGTGCTGCAGGGTACCTGGAGTCCAGTGCGGACAGCTCTGGAGGATCGACACCTGGGTCGATATTTGTGCCATTGGCCTCCGCCTGCCTCTGTTCCTGGTCCTCCTGCTGCTGCTGCTGCTGCTGCTGCTGCTGCTGCGTCTCCTTCCTCCTGCTCCTCCTTCTTCTCCTCTTGCTCCTGGTCCTGATCCTGCTGATGCTGCTGTTGCTGCTGCTGCTGCTGCTGCTACTGCTCTTCCCCCTCCCGCCTGCTGCTGCTGCCGCTCCTGCTGCTGCTGCTGCTGCTGCTGCTGCTGCTGCTGCTTCTCTGCTGCTGCTGCTGCTGCTGCTGCTGCTGCTGCTGCTGCTCGTGCTCCTGCTGCTGCTGTTGCTGCTGCTGCTGCTTGTGCTCTGCCGGCTTCCCCCGTTTCCTCCTCCTCCTCCTCCTCCTCCTCCTCCTCCTCCTCCCCCTCCTTCTCCTCCTCCTCGGGCCGGGCTTGAGGCCCGCGACATGGAGGTGCTCGCCGCTCTCTTGTGCGGCATGACGATCGCGCGCCTGCCGCACGAGCCAGCGTGGCGCGCCGTTGGCGCCGCGGGCTTGAATTCCCTCTCCTCTCGTTGCTCCTCCTGCCTCTTGCTGCCGCTCCTCCTCGAATCCCTTTTCGAACGGTAGGCCATCGGGTGGCAGGGGAGTGAGCACATGTGGCATTGTTGCATGCTTGTGGTATACTGCAGGGCTTCCCATGGGCGTTTGGCTCAAGGGATCCCTGTCGTGCCCGCTCTACAGTCTTTCCAGACATCGCTTTACTTTACCGTCCGCTATACAACAAACATCAGTTGTTATCCACCGCTTCACATTCTAGTTGGTAGCGGAACAGCCCGCTCCGCGACCACTCGCCGCCGCGATAGCCCGCGAGGTCTCCCTCCGTGCCAGCGGCGACCGCTCCACCCGCTCTACAACGCGTGGCACGCGTATTTGCTCAACACTCGTGCTGGGCATCCACGTCGTTTCGGCAGGCGCCGTGCCTCGAGGGGCCGGCGGGTTTCCGCCGACCCAGCCGCCATGGGAAGCCGAGGTACCCCAGCGCGACCATTACAACCTGTACCAGAACACCTACGCGAAGGACGGCGCGCCCCGTGTCCTGGCCTCCCCCCTTCGGGCACTTTCGAACTGTGTTCGAAATGCTCGGGGGCCCGTCGTCGTCACAACACTCGCCTGTGAGCGCCGCCGTCAGCGTCAGACCGTCGAGCGACCCAATTTCCACGCTCGCGGTGGCGGCACAGGGCCCCGAGTTATTCGCCTTTGTATTGCGGAAGCCCGAAGGGGAAGATGGGAAGGACGCGCCGCCCTCATTGCATCCGCATGTGGGTGTAGCCGACCATGTCAACCAGTCGGTCAATCCGACGATCACATCGTCGGTGCCGGCAAGACGTCCCGTGTTCTCCGCAATTGTCATGTGGAAGTTGGGGGAGGCGCGTGCAGGCAATAGCGGGAATACAGAGGAGGGTCGGGCAACTGCATTGCCATCCTTCCGAAGGACTGTCACACACACACGTGGGTCTATTCGGTATCGGTTCTCCATGGCGGCACCCTCCATGCTACCTGCGTGCTCCCTAGTTTTTGGCACACCTGGATCCCGATGCGTACTCATCTTGACTATCGTGCAGTTGGTGGTGCTCCGAACAGTGACAATACGACGTGCGACGACTTCTCTTGCCACTCTGTGGCGGGGTGCTCCGAGTGCAGTCCGCGCGCCAATCGCGCGGCGGAAGAGAAGACCCAATGCGCTGATGAGGTGGAGCACACCAGGGGCAGAAACCCATGAAGGTGTCGAGGATCACTGCCAGAACGCAGCCGTTGGCGGGTGCCAGGACTGTCGCGCCTCCTCGACGCTTGGATGGGGGCTCCACTCTGGGTGGAGGGCCATCGGAGTGGGCGTGGTCGTTGCCATCAGCTGCGCCGCTTGCGAGGGCGCGGGTGGTGGTGGCAGCGGCAACATGCGACGCCTCCGCACATGGGGGTCTGAGCAGCAAGCTCGCGTGCGCTTCCAACGCTGGGTGCGGGGGGTAATGATTTGTCCGTGGCGAACTCATCCCTCAACGAGTTCCGCCATGCGGCCTACTTTTCGTCCCGCTGGGCCGGCATGGTTCTCGAGTGCGTGGACGAATGGCCGCCGGATGTCGTCGTCCATGGTGGTCATGTCAACGGCGACCCAGTGCCGCCAATGACCTGCCCCTCGCGCAGCTCGGCCGAACGGCGGGGTCAGCTTGGAGAGGAAGAGCGCGCGCAGGCAGTGTCGGGTCTGATGAACTTCAACCGGCCGCCGCAGGAAGGCGTCGACGACCTCCTCGCCAGGTTCGACATTCTTTGCAACGGGGCGCAGCGGGCTGGTCAACTCATGATCGGCTACGAGGGCCTCAGCTACCTCTTGCTGCGCGCGGTGGGTGTGTCGAACACCCAGCTGTCTATGGTCCTGCGTCGTTGCAACGTGGTCAACCTGGCGGGCGCGCCGCAGCTGGCCCGCGTGATGGGCCAGTCGCGCAGATTTGGACGTGTATCGATGGCGTGCCGGGCAATCTCGTGTCGGCCGTGCGTTCGCCCCAAAGCCAAGCGTTCCCCGCGGGCGCGCCCGCTCGCGATCAGGGTCGGAGTGCCTGTGGCACTGGGGCCGCAGGGGTGGCGCGGGCCCATCAGTCCTCGGAGCGGCGCTATGTCCGCTGGCAGCCCCAGCTGCCGCCGGCGCCGACGCATCGGCAGCGCTGCAGGCGGCGCGTCCAGCGGCAGACTTCGTTTCCGTCGCCGACTTCGACGCCGCGTGCCCATCCGGCGAAGCAATCGCTGCCGACGACCCCGAAATGCGCGAAGTTCCCAGGGGGCAGCGTGGCGCGCGCTGTTTTTGGGCCAACGAGCGCGCCAAGTCCCGACGGCGCCGCATGCGGCGACGGCGGGCCTGGGCGCCGCGCGCGGAGAGCCGTCGAGCGGAGGGGCAGGGGCCACGGGGAAAGGCAACCGCGCCTTCATGGCCGACTTGTCCGACGACGACCTCCGCGAAACCTTCGCGGCTCCAGGGGGGCAGGGGTGAGGGGCGGGGCAACGGTCGGGCCGGTGGGCTGGGGTTCGGCCGACGGGCCGACGAGGCGGGCCGCGGGGCCCAGGCGGGGCGCGCGTCAGGAGCCGCGAGCGCGACTCAGAAGAGCACCTCGCGCGGCAGAAAGCGAAGATTGAGGAGGGCCACGCGCTCGGAGCGCAAGAGCAGGCCGTGGAAGACCATTGCGACGACTGCGGCGCCGACCTTACTGGTCAGGCCCAATGGGCTTCCCAGCCATTGGCGAGCCGGGTCGCGCCGACGAGTGCGACGCCGACGACCTCCGCGGAAGCCGTATCTCAGGCCTGCCCGCGCGGTGGTTTCGGGTTCGTCGGCCCCGTGATCGGATCGCCATCTGGCGAGTGATCAAACGTCGCAGTCAACCGAGTTCGACGGCATTCACTGCCTCCTCACCCGCCTCGCGTCCGTCGGTCACGGCGCCGACTGCGCGGAGATATGCGGTGGGGGGGCGCGGGCCAGCCGACTCGCTGTCCGTCGCCGCCTCAGGGCGGGTGCCAATTTCGACCAGGTCGCGGGCTGTGGTCTCATCGACGAGAGCCAGCAGAGAGCCGTGGAGCGATGCATCCGACAAAGCCGGCCCCAAGTGGCCATCGTGGCTTCCTCCTGCCAGCCTTTCTGTCGTAGGGCTACCTTCAACTACAAGTACAACTGCCGCACTTGGCAAAGTTCCTACGAGGATGCAGCACCTCATGGGTGGTTCTGCGGCTACATGGCACAGCTGGAGCTGCGGCTCGGCGGCTGCTTCGTCAGCGAGTGCCCGAGCCATCGTGGCTGTGCTCGGAGCCGCCCAGGCCTGACGCGCCAGCGGCACCAGGCGTGCATGATGTCGACCAGTGCCAACTGGAACATCGAGAGCGTCGCGGGGGTATTTTGGGAGAGACCGCTGGCCTTGTCTGGAACGCCCCAGAGATCCTCGAGCAGTTCGTGAACCTCAGGTGCGCCGACGAGCGCGCGTCGAGGGCCGCGGCGGCACGGGCGCCCAGGTCTGGCAATGGAAGATGGCCGCGCGGCTTGTTCAGGGCATCTTGGACGTGCGCCGGCACCTGAGACGACCGTTTTTTTGTTAGTTATGATCGCGCGTGCGATGTCTATGCGGCGGCCTTTCCAGCAGTGGCCTCAGGGGCCACGGAGGGCGAGATCAGGAGCGCCATGGCCGCTGAACGCGCAGGTCGTGCTAGGCGTGCCGACGCAACGTGCGATCGGATTTGCCCATGCACCCTCGAGGCCCGGCCTCCTGCCGGTGCCCTCGCGGCGCCCCGCGATCCATTGGGGGCGCCCCAGCTGCCGCGGGGGGAATATGCGCGACCGTCCAGCGCGCGCCCGCGAGTTCAGCGAGTGCAGGTTCGCGGATTCCCACGGCGGCCGCGCCCGCGTGCCGGCCAACGTCCACGATCGCCAGCGCGATTTGGAGGACAGTGCCCTACCAGTGATCAACGGGCTCAATTACCTGGAGGAGCCGACCTCGGAGCTGCAGACGAGGCAGCGCTGCCGCCAACATTGCCCAGTGCGCCGGGAGCCAGCTCATCCTCCAGCGCTGGGGCTCAGGGCAGCGGGTCTGGGATATGTGTCGCCGTTTCTCGACTGCGCGCCAGCCAGCCCGACGACCGGCGCGTGGCCGAGACGGGCGGCGCCGCGAGTTGCCGACGCTGCTATAGGCAACCCATCGCCTGCAGACTGGATTCGCGCCGAGCAATTCCCGCACTACCCCTTTCGACGCGATTTAACCAGCTCGTTGAATGCGACATCTTTTACTACAAGGATTGCATGATATTTAACTTTAACTTGATCGGCTGCGCCTCGCGGCGGCGCAGCAGCCGGGACATCGCGGGCTGGGCTGATTCGACTCGACGCTGCTGGCAGCAGTTGACGGTTCATGGATCCAGCTACTTAGATCAATGGAGACCTTCATCGTGGACGGCGAAGGCGGGATGACCTCCGCGCATTTCGTGCAGGAGATAAGGAAGAAGGGGGCCAGGTGGACATCCGCTCGCCGCGTCAGCGCGCTCGTTTCATAGAGCGACGTGGTGCAACGCATCGACGCGCTCTGCGCGCCGCCGAGGAGCAGCTGGATAGCGAAGGCATCGCTGCCAACTTCGACTCCATGCTGGCCCGCGCCACTTTCGCGTGCAACGGCCTCGCCCACGCGGGCGCCGTTGCGACGTGCGACGTCGTTTGTGGCAGGCAGCGCTCCACGCTGCCACCGCTCGAAGCAGATGAGGAGAGTGGGGGCCGGTGCTGGCGCGGCTGCTGGTGGTGAGGTGCAACCCAGCCGACTGCAGTGGCGTATCCGTGATATCGTTCTGCAGCGTATGACCGAGGCTACTTTGATTGCCCGCCTTAACCTCGCCTTCCGGACACGCGCCACAGAGACCTGAGAGGGGCGCTCCAACGTGGGTGATCAGGTGGAGATCCGTTCTAGCCTCCCAGCAGAAAGGACGTGTCTTGTTGGGCAGGTCCTGGTACTCGCCTTTCTGCGGGCT